TTGGTCCTTTCTTTGCGACCATTACAATAAATAATTTGCGAATGCTTAGTGACTTATTGCATGAGCAAATTCCTACCCATTAGATTTGTGTTATCTAAACTATTGTTCGTGAGATGATTTGGTTCTAACACCTATTTAATTTTTTAGCATGCTTCCTCTACCAGGTAGGACACAATCTCATAAAGTCTCATAAAGTCATCAACCCTTAATGTGATTCGTATATAGGGGTTCATATTTGAGTTTATTGAGGCGGGGTCAATAAAACAGTCTACTAGAGGCAATCTATGAAAATTTTAAAATCATTCATTTTCAGTAGCAGGTCCATTATCAATAAGTACAATACCAATGGTGCGCCTCTAATTTTTAAATCATATTTAGCGATATTTTCGCTTTAAACTCACCACCATATCGATAATTGTATCTGGTCTACAAGTTTACTGGTACTTTATCATTTCTCATTTGATCTTTCAAGTGGTCATATCTTTCATTTTCTAATTACATCTTATTTTTTCTTTGTTTGCCTTTATTTAACAGCCTCAGACAATTTCGATAATTTTAAATTAAATCGACAATATGGAAGGGAACTTGAAATTACCCTACCGGCTCTTATCTATAAATAAATTATAAGTTATTTATTTGGCCTTTAAAGAATTCTTCTCGACAATCATTTATCACTTGTTCTTTTGTAGGCCGACCTTCTCCATGCTATCCTCCTGGTTCTCCAGGATATGGACTTGGCGCTACCCATCCTTCTGGGAGTTATGCTCCACCAGTGATGCCCCCTAATCCATCCCATCACCATCCACATCCATCCAACCTAACTCACACACATCTAGCAACACAACAACAACAGCATCAACAACATCAACCGCATCAACAACATCAACAGCAACAGCCACAACCTTCTATGTCCGGCCAGCAACACCCACATGGGCATCCTCATGCTCCACCGCCACACCACTTCCACCCATCAGCCTATTTACACAGTCATTCTCAAACTTGTGTAGGGCATCCAGGACATAGCCTCCCACCAGGTCCACTCTCATCAGCTACAGCGCCCCAGCACATACACCAACAGCATCAACAACAATCTCACCAGCAACATACCCATTCGTCTGTTAGCGCTTCAGGACTGACTGGGCAAGGAAGTGGCTATTCTTCACTTCAGACTAGTGTGCCTCCATCGACGTCTCACCAGCGCCAACAGCAATCCCAGTCAATTCAGCAACAACAGCAGCAGCAGCATCAGACCAATGGACCTCTGGGCCCTTCTCCCGTCTCCCAGGCGTCCGTAGTGCAGTCACAACATCCGAACTTCTCAACTGTGCACTCCATTGATCCCTCTATGGATGGACGAGGTAAGATATCTTATTTAAACATTTTTTCTTGTTTGAGATGATGAAGGTTTACGCCCTTAGCTGCTAGACTTGACTAACCTTTGCTTCCAATAGTTAACAAGCAAAATTGATATATTTACTTTCTCATCGGCTTTATCTCTGCCTAACACAAACTGACACCCTGTAGATAAACCAATATTTGTATGGTCATGCCAAGGTGTATTATGTGTAGGAAAAAGGGTTTTGGAAGAATTCATTTATAGATTGATGTTGGAGTACTCTTCATTTCGTTTGAGGAGGCAAGTGGAATGGATTCATAAGTTGGCCTCACATGAAGTCCAAGGATCTGTGACCATCGATTTATCCTTGTCCTGTCGTCCTGCGACCACGATGAATCCTAGGTCTTATTCACATAAATCTATGGTCACAGCTTAAAGCCATTCCCCCTTTCGTTTCTGGTGAGGCCAAATTACAAATCCCTTTCAGTCCTCTTTTCAAAGTAAATGAAATATCTAGGCTTATGTTTATTTTTTGAAGCTATAGAATATATAATGTACTTGAGTATATAGAAATAGCTTACCCAACATTTCTCATACTCAGCGCAAATGTATATGATAAACCAAAATGGGGTACTGGATGTATTATGTCATTGATATACATGTTTTTCATCTCTTAATTTTACTTGCTCATTGCCACTATTGTTCTTAAATTCGTCGCCTAGAATTGATTAACAAAAGTGTTGACTTCTTTTATCCTTTATTTGTTGCTGAATGATATCTACAATCTCACTTATTCGGTTAATTTACAAGATACTATTAAATCAATATCAAATATATACGATCACTTTTTGATCGATACTTTGCCATATGCACTCTAGACAAACTAATGTATACCTATTATATTAATATCGCTTGTTTTTAGGCTGTGCTATTATCATATTAAGTGGCACCAAACATCACTTTTATTCTCTTTCATTTGTACATTATTCGGGGTGATTTTATATTCTACGAATTCGGCAGCTATATGCCTCTGAAGGTTATAATCGATTTCTTTGACTCAGCTTCCAACATTTTGATGAGGCAATAAACTTCAGCCTTACTTAGGAATGCAAGGTTTAAAATTCACCCTCATGCTTTAGTCTATCGTTATCATTCTTTCTGCAATCAATCATTGTCAAGAAGCCATTAATGCGTTTAAAAGGCTTATTATTTTAAATCGGCTTATTTTAGGAAATGGCTAAGGGCAAATTTCTCAGTCTACT